CTGATCTTGTTTTAAAAGAATGCAATGTGTGCTCCAGCAAGGACAGAAGCACTGAGAACTCAATTCTTCAGGAAATCATTTGCAGCAAAGAATTAGAAAACACATGTGTGATGCACAATGCCTCCTGAGCTGATCAGAACAGGATTCCTGTAATGAATTAGCCAGAGGAAAATATCCAGTGACTCGTATCAATGTTACAAAACCACTTCATACTGATTATTTTGGGCTAAGGCAAGAAAAATAGGATTTTATAAATCTCTTCTACTGGGGAATGAGTACAAAAGTCCGAACACACCAGCTTCCACATCACTCACCAAAGTGAAAGAATTTTCCAAATCTTTAATCCTTGTCATCTGTGTAAATATGTAGTGAACACACATATATGTCATGTACCAACCAATGACAATCTTGCTTGACAATCTTGCTCATATACACATGCATGATACATACACATATATACCATGTATCTGTCACTGGCAATCTTTAATGTGGGCAGCTCCTGACTTACAGGAATTTAACTTTAAAATGTGTTACCATGTCTTTACAATTTCTCTTTACAGTATTCTATTGATTTATGTTCATATAATAACAAAACTTTACACAGACCACAAACAGCTTACATTGATTGTCCAGCCATCCGGCTTCTTCCCAGTCTCCAATAAAAGAGACAAATCTTTTTCACTGATGACAACCTTGACCTTTAAGAAACTGATTCCATGCCAGTCAGAATCACATCACACCATAAATTCAGTCAATGAAGCCTCAGCTAACACAGGTGTAAAGCACAAGTGTCAGGTGGCACACACCTGTGATCCCAGCATTCAAGAGATTGAAGCCAGAGGCCAGAAGAGGGTGACTGCTCCCCTGGAGCTGGAGTTAGGCTCACACAATGTGGGAGCTGGGAACCAAAGCTGTGCTTTCTCCAAGAGCAGGAGGACACACTCTTAACTGCTCAGCCATCTTTCCAGTCTGCTCTCAGAATGTGAGTCGTGGTGGAGGATAAGGGGTACCCATAATCTGCTTCGTGACTGATTTTCATGTACTTGAAAGAAAGTGAAAATAACCAAATGTTTCTCCCTAGTTGTGTCCACACATGAGGTCACTTTCAAAGACTCTGGTCCAGGGATGATATCCTTCTCTGGATATGGAAGTGGGTGACAGAGCAGGGTACAACCCTAAAACAAGCCACCACCTCAGCTACTCTACTAACTAATCTTCAGGAAAGGTCAGACAGAAAGACCAAATTCCTAAGTGCTTTCCCAGAGACGTCTCAGAGCCAGAGACATGTGTGATGTGGCAAGGATGGACACAAACCTATCCCGTACAAGCCAAAGCTGTTCCAAACAAGCTAACTACAGTGTGTGCTGGGACAGGCTTATCACAGATGCTGGGATCCCTGAGAGGGATGCTCAAAATGACTGAAATGCTAAGAACCAGTTCCATCTGGCTGACTCAGGCCATCTGGATTATTTCTCTTAAAGAAACAGGGGACATGGAAAATAGATCAACTAGCCAAAGAGGATTTTTCTCTTCAAAGTGATACTTACCACAGATAGATCTAAAGCATTAGAAAAGCCAAGCGCAGTAACTCATGACTGTAATCCCAGTACTCAGAAGGCTGAGGCAGGGGGGATCATGAATCTGAGATAGCCTGATTAAAGAGTACAATGCTGCCTCAAAAAGCCAAAAACAAGGGGCTGGAGGGGCAGCTTAGCAGTTAAGAGCACTGGCTGATCTTCCTAAGCCCCCACCCCCCCAATTTCCAGTGCCTGCATGGCGGCTCACAACCACCTGTCTACAGTTCCAAGGGTTCTGTCGCCCTCTTCTGGCCTCTGTGGAGACTGCATACTCATGGTACACAGGCATAGCTGCAGGCAAAACTCCCACACAGATAAAAAAAAATTCTTAAGCCAAAAATGCAGTATATATATATCATGGGCACTAACAGTGTTTTCCCCACATACTGATCAGGTATCTAGCCAAGATGATTTGGAAATTCGTCTTGACAGAAAATAATATTTAAAATATCTTCCTGGGAGTGGTAACGCAGATCATGATGTATGTGAACAGTCTCTAATCAGGTGGAAGCCTTGACAGAATGAAGACAAGGGAACACCGCCAGTAGACTGCCTGAGAGTCCCTGCATCACACTGAAGACCTTCCTTCCAGTCTGAGTTTGTTTTTATTGTGAAAAGCTGTTGGACTTCGGCAAGTGAATTCCATCACAGCTAACACTGCTCTAACTTCTCATCCTGACTTCTAGGCAGCTCCATTCCTTCCTTCTGAATCTTTACTTCCATTGGTGTCGACTCCCATCTCACCTAGGCCTTCACTTAGTCCTTGGGTTGTCTCATCTAGTTTCATCGTTTTAAAAGAGCCAGATATTCACAACTCCGAATCCACATCCTTGACTCCTGTTCCTCACATGTTTGTCTCACTGCCAATTCCATATGGATGCTCTCAACACACTGAGCCCAAAACAGAACACTCAGGCAGATCACATCTCCAATCTTTCCAATCTCTGTACACATTTAAGTCCATTCTTGTACAATGACCCAAACCATAAACTCATAACCAGTTCTCCTACATGTCCAGAATCCGGCCTCCTGCTACCTCCAGTGGAAACATCCTTATTCAAAGCTCATCATCTCTTACCTGAATTGCTACAGTGTTTCTCTGCTTCTGCCATGCCCTCTTGCAGATTCTCAACCCATCAGCTAGTGTGACCCTTAAAATATGGGCCAGGTCATGTTACTGCCTTGCTCAGGACCTGCCAATGAGTTCCTGTTTTCTATAAAGTACCAGCTAAGTGCCTACCCGACTTGTCACATCCTGTTGCGCAGACCGAGATTCTGGTCACACAGGCTCCCTCAGGTGCAGCAGACACCCTCTCTTAGGGTCTTGCACCATGCTTACCTCACTACTTAGATTCCCCCTCCCCAGCTTTCTGACCACACAAGATCTTTTCAGGGAGAACCTCTTACTTAATGAGACAGCTCCTTCATTACTCTATTTTCTTATCTTATAGGTTATATACAGTTGCCCCACCTCATTACCAAATGGTGGATTCTACATCTTATGCTTCCATAATTAGATAATTTACTTATCTCCCATCAGGGAAAGAGACCTTTTTGTCTGATGGCTATGCATCTCTTCATGACTCCCAGGACCCATGCTCTTAGGCCATCCTGCCCCACTGACTCTACCTTGGCCAGGAGACCTATTCTGGTCCCTAAAAGACTTTAACTGTGGGAACACTCTTGAGTGCTACTTTCTCTTGCTGAAGTCAGGAACCCTGAGAGCACTGTTTGGGAATCTTCCTGGGGCATGAAAGGCCACACAAGGGGCTGGAAAAATGGCCTAGTAGGTAAACGATCTGAGTTCTGATCCTTAGCACCTATGTTAAAAGCCAGGCATGACAGAATGCACTTGCAACCCTAGCACTCGTTAAGTGGTGGAGGCAGGCATACCCCTAAAGGCTTGGTGACCAGCTAACTCTAGTCACACCAGTGAGTTCCATGTTCACTGAGAAATCCTGTCTCAAAAGTGTGACTGAGGAAGACACCTAACACTGACCTCAGGCTTTCACATGCAGGGACGTGTGTGTGTGTGTGTGTGTGTGTGTGTGTGTGTGTGTGTGTGTGTGTGTGTGTGTGTACAAAGACAACATGTAGCAAATGAACTCACTCAGCTAAACTCCCGACAAGTCAGACAGACCACAAAGACTACAAAGAAACAGCAAGCTGAGCTTGGACAGAAACACAGAGTGGACCTCAGATCTACACGCTTACGTGCTTGTTGTGTGAAACTGTTACAGATTCCAGGGGGTACAAGGGGAGGTGACAGCCCACAGAGCACTGGGCACACTGCACTACTCAGAAAAGGAAACAATGAAGACAGAACCCTCCCCGCTCTGGTGCCCCAAATCTTAGACTTTTCTGTAAATTCAGGTGATGTGCAGACAAGAAGACTACAATTTTCATTTGGTTGGTGATATGAGATCTTAATTATTAAAAGTGGGACGACTGGGTGTTTCAGAATTTCGGGTATTTTTACAAAACCAAAACCCAGAAGGCAGCTGCAGGGAAGAAGACTATAGTCATGGTCTTTATACAGATGTGGGATGAATACAGAAGCAATAATTGTATCCTTTGGTTCTTAGGTGAACAACACTTACTTCCCAGGCCTCAGTCTGTCATAGAATGGACAGAATATCCCAACCTCAATGTATTGGAGATGATGAAGATACTAAGAACCTACTACAGTATTTGCCCGACTTCCTCAGTAACCAAGAGAACTTATCACCTTGCATGAAAGTGTCCATCTTAAAAGGAGGCCGAAAGGTAGGTAGATGCTTGGCCCTGTGTTTCCACATTCCCCCTCTTGCTGAGCACAGAACTTGTTGGCTAAACACAGCAAGGGTCGGAGGAAAGCTGGAAGCGAAATGCAGAAAAAGAGAATCTTGCTGCCTTTAATAATTTCTAGATGTCTTTGCTTCTGTTTTTAACATCCCCCAGCATCTCCAAATTAGAAAGCATTTCTTAATTTAAACCACACATTAGAGACTAATAACAAGGCTTAACTATATTTGTGTCATTTATGGGGCTATGGAAATAACAGATTGTAAGAAGATATATGGAAGAAGTGATTTGAGAGTTAAGAAATGTATTGAGAACTCTGAACAATCCCAAAAAACGCAACTGTTTAGAAAAGTCCAGAAACTGCATTGAGAAAAATTAATAACACCATCAGTGTAGGTGCTCATCCTCTATCAAAAACACATATAATCATTTACAAAGCTGTCTGGAATGCCCCTGCACCTACAGGCGCAGTGTAAAGTCCTATGTATCCAGTCTGCTCAGCCTGTAATACAAGGTTCTGGCTGGCCTAAGTATTAGAGCATGCTCACACAAACATGCCAATTTAAGAGGAAACAATGTAATTACACCGAAGAAAGCAACAAAAATCAAAGAAATCATCTTCTACGACCAATTGCTCACCTATGTAAGTTCCACTGTTGTTACCATCATATCCGGCATCTTCTGGGTTGAATGTAAAAGCCAACAGAACAGAAGTCAGGAGACAAAGTAGAATGGTTAGGAGCCCAGCCACAGCCGCCAAAAGTCCAATATCGGAAGCAATCATGTAACACACAGTATGGAGCAGCCCTGACGATGGCATGCTTAGAAACATTGTTTTTTATTTAAGTTCAGGTATTTTGAGGCCTCATACAGGGTTGCTTTTGTTTTTTGTTTTTCTTTCTTCCTTTCAACCTTCTTCAGAGGTTCCTTGATGCAGTTCCAAAGAAAATGACTTTTTAAATTATCTGAAATGTTTGTATTTTCACAGTAAAGAAAATTACACCAGTTGACTCCCAAAGTAAATTGACTTCTATAAGTCAGCTCTTTGATAATATTAAAACAGAGCGTTTACTTTGGCTGGCTGGAGTAGACAGAAAGGTGAGACTAGAGTACACCCTGGCTGACAGGTATGGATCCAAAGTTGGGAGGGGATAGAAGAATAACATTCCATTTTCATTAAAAACATAGAGCAAATAAAGCATCTTAAATCAAACACTGCGTCACTGTTTGGGGGCATTATGTGGTTTCTGACCTACACTTATCTTAAAGCAGTGAGGTTGTTGTTTGTCCTTGGAATAGTCAGTCACATAAACACACCCCTGGAATAGATCATGAAGATATCAAGGCTCCAAGAGGGCCAGAGCACCTGCCTGTCACCACACAGCAAGCATGAAGAACACTGCTTTTTCCATTTACTTTTATTTAATGCTAGTGACAGAGCTACAAGCATATCGTGTAAACTGCAATCATATGTTAGGCAATTCTTCTACATGAAGGAAAAACCAAAACACTACATCTCTTTGAAAAATGAAGTCCCACCATGATTTTTGATACTGAAAGATGGAAGTTTGTAGTCATAAAGATCACTCTGCTACTACTGTATGACATATCTGACTTAATCCTATATTAAATAATAAAATTATTAACCACATGGGAAACTTTTATACATGTACCTTTAATTTCCTCTGAGAAGCATGAAGAAAATAAGAAAGAAGATGGTTAGATGGGCAGAAAATGCAATGAAAGTAGAAAGATCCAAATAAAAACAACTAAAATAAAATCTACCTACCACATTCAACTGTTTCCTCATCTTAGAAAAGCCAAAGGAGGGAAAACACACACATTTAAACATTTTAGTATTAGACAGTGCTGCAGGCTGCATGTACAGAATGTATAATTTTATTAAAGACACTGAGTGCTCATAGAGCTTATTGTCAGCAACCAAATGGGGAAAATAACTAGAAAAAAAAACTGTCAACATTTTTGCTCAAATTAATACCTTGAATAAAGGAATTTCATTTCTTTTGGTAGATTTTGTTGGCTTATAAAAGGGTAAACAATCAAATGAAGAAAGGATCTTAGAAACAAGCAAGTTTGCCTGGACATTCCCAAGTATTCTGCAATTTCAACAATATACTGACAAGCCAATTATCACACACATTATTTCATGGAAGATATTATGTGTATTGTTCTTTTAACCTTGAGACATATCACTGTATAGCCCTGATATGCCTGCAACTCCATCATGCTCACCCCCTCCCCTCCCTCTATTACTTCCTGTCCATCTTTACCTTGTCCTTTCCATATCTCTTATGCTCCCCGTTCTCCTATCAGTTTATCTTTTTGTCTCCCCCTAGCTTCCACCTGAGAAAATACATGCTGTGTTTATTTTTGTAGAGTGGTTTATCTCACTTAACATTATGATGTACCATTCGTCCATTTCCAGCAAATGACATTTTGTTCTTCTTTATGACTTAGTAAAGACCTCCATGTACACACATCACATTTCCTTTTCCCATTCATTTGTTGATGGGTACTCAGACTGAATCTGTACCATAGCTACCACGAATAGTGCCATAATCAACATGGCTATTCAGTTATCTCTACAGTAAGTGTGATTCTTTCAAAAATAGTTTCTATTATTATTATTATTAGTAGTAGTAGTAGTAGTATTTGTGTGTGTGTGTGTGTGTGTGTGTGCGTGTGTGCGTGCACGCCACAGCACACATGTGGGAGGTCAGAGGACAACTCTATGGAGCTGGACTCGCCTCCCACTTTTCTGTGGGTTCTGGCGATTGATCTCAGGTTGTCAGGCTTGTATAGCAAGCCCCTTTACTCACTGAGTCATTTTGCTGGCATAGTATTTCATCCTTTTATACAACTGTTCAACAAGTAGTATAGTTGGATGGGATGGAAGTTTTATTTTTATTTTTTTGACATGGAGTCCTGCTATGTAGCACTGAAACTCACTAGGCAGATCAAGCTAATTTTCAACTTGCAAGGGTCCTGTTTTTTCTACTTCCCAAGTTTTGGGACTATAGGTATGTGCCACATTCTGAGGCTTATCTTCAATTTTTTGAAGAACCACAACGAAACACTTTTTAAAAAGAATCCTTAGCAATTCTTGAACTACTAATTAGATAGCAACTTAAAAACCTGGCTAGGAGACTTCACTCCAGTAAAGAACGGAAATGTATTGGCAACAAACCCCAAGCAAAAGCTCACCCTGAGTCAAGGAGGAACATGCTCTATAGAATGAATAGGGGCGATGAAAACCTCCCAAAGCTACCCAACATCAGCCATAGGAAATGGCTCAGGGAGGGTGAATGGCACTGGCTCATCAAACTGTGACAGTTCTACTGGGCTCTCGTTAGCAAATATGACAAGCAAAGGTTAACATTCAGGCTCATATTATGAGCTACCCAAATTAGGATTTATGCATATTTTTCACTAGCTCTGAAATGCTAAATGCATATGAAACAAATGATAAGAAAACAAAGAATAAACTGGATGATCAGAGTTAGCAACACCAGCCACTGAGGCATACAGAGATCTTGCGAAATGACTTGAGAAACCCTGTACTGTGCATGGCAAAGCACACCTGCAATCCAGCACTCAGTGGGCTGAGGTGGGAGGATTGTTGTGAGCTTGAGGTCAGGCTGGGCAACTAAGTGAGTACCAGGCCAGGGCTAGATATCAAGACGCTATCCTCATTAAACAAACAAATATAACAACAAAAATCCATCACTGTAAATATCTCATGCACAGTATTGTAGATTGATACATCTTGTGTATGTTTTTTGACAGGAATAATAGAATAAATTGAACATCACCCCCATGCTTAAAGCTTCAACATCATGGTAATTCAGGCCACAGAGGTAAACAAAAACTTCAAATGCCAACAATCAACCCACAATGAACATTTTATATTACATATAGTGTGCTCATTTCATATTCCCATAAGAGGTCAGAAATTCATATGCTGCATTAATTTAGAAGATTATTTCTCCGTGCAGTTATCGGGGAGGATGCTAAGATTTTTTTTAAGCATAGTAAAACTAGAGACAGGCATCTAATAATAAATTTGTACTTAATGATCTCATATGGAAAAAGCAATGGATTTTTTTAGAATTGACAAGTTTGAAAATGAGGAAACAAAGTGTTGATCTCAGAAGAAAGCTGGGTGAGCTATTTAACCTTCCAACAATTCCATGAGGACAGGACTACTAGTCCCATTATACAGATGGAAACACACCCAGATAGTGAAATACAGAGGATGTAGACCCAGAAACCTGGCCACATGTGTTTAACAACAAATGACAAACATTCATACCAGAACCATTTGGTGATTGATTATTCAAGATGAGCCAGAAAACACCAACAGTGGAGGATCGGGTCTCACTGTTTCCTCCATATCTCCCAGAAGTCACCATTACCTCCAACACCTCTTCCTCTTGCTACTTCACTGTAGTTTCAGCCTCCCCATGCGCTTCCCAGGAGAGCCTAGGAATGTTAGTTATCAGGATTCTATGGCTTACTGGCTAAAAGCACTGGAGAACTGGACATGGAGGCTATAAAACCACAGAGGAACAGCCACCAAGGAAACCAGAAGATGGACTGGGAAGGCTGGGGGTTGGGGAGGATGCCATGAGCTGTGCACACACAGAGCTGCAGTCAACTTTCTATCCAGTCAACAAGGTGTCATCTGCTTTCCTAACTCCCCGTAGCCCTAGGACTGCAGCTTTCATGAAGTGTGAATAATCTATGACCACCGATCAGACCTCTAACTAGGACCAGACTCTTCCTTACTGACATGCCACTGGGTCTCCATGGAGAACTGCAAATGATACCATGGCTTGGAACCCTTCAAACTAGAAGAGCTGTCCCTGCAACTGTCTCAGAAGTGACACCATCAGCTATGCACAGAATTTCCTGAGTCAGCACCATGTGAACAACTGGATGTAAAATTGACAGCCTAATTTATCAGCAACTCTTCCCACAAAGCCCTGACCTGTGGAGTCTCCCCAACAGAACCTCTGAAGTTAGGGTGTTATAGCTAGGACCCAGGTTGCCAAAGGCCCTTTCTGCCAAGCTTTGGAAGGAAGTGGAAGTTTTATAAGGGGACCTAGTGGAAGGGCTTTTGGCACCCAGAAACATGTCCATGAAGGGAACAGAAGAACCCCTTTCCTCTTCATCTCTAGCTATGACATAAACATCTTTGCTCCGTACGTAACCCCTAGCCATGACTGGCTCCTGGCCATAGATAAAAACAAGGAGGTCAAATGATTATGGATTGGACCCTCTAAAACTGAGTCAAACTTTTCTCTTGATAAAGCTGATCGGTCCAGGCATTTGTTAAGGTATTGGGAAGCTAACATAAAGGGAAAATATTCACAGGGTCTTTAAATTAATATTTTAAATTATGTGCCTGTGTATGGATACATGAATGCAGATGTCTAAGGAGATCACAGGTGTCAGGTCTCCTGACAAAGGTGTGGAAACTGGATTCTCTGCAAGAGCAAAACACACTCAACTGCTGACTAATCTCTCTGGCCCCTGACAGAAAACTTCATGTGTTTCTGTTCACGACAAATACTACCACCAAAAAGAAAATGCACAACAAAGTTTAAGATATACAAAATGTTCAACAGCAAAAACAATCTGTTTCTAAGTTGACACAACGTGTGCAAACACTAAATACGCTGAAGGCGGTGTGTACTCAATGAGAAATACTTTATTACAACAACATGCAGGATCTGAAATGTGGCCGTAAATATTGGCACCTCTTACAGAAATGACATTGTTTTACCCAATGTCAGAACTCTTTCACTGGCTGTCATGTCTGTTGTCCCATAATGAGCAAGTCCTACCGGCTTTTGATGGGTTCTCTTTGTCTGAATTTAAGTATTTCCATTTGCGTCTATGAGCCCCAAATCACAATTTGTTAAAGTGAAATGTTTTGTGATTTTATGTTTTCAAATATCAGAAATTTTGCACATTTACTCATCTAATGCCAAGAATTTCACAGAGCTATTTTTAAAGTAAAGAATTCAACTTAACATTATTCAGTTTGCTGTATGAGAAATGTTGAGGTATTTATACTTTGATAAATGAAAAGGAAAATTAAGTACTAAAAATAGAAATCATACTTTGATATTCTGCTGTAAAATAATCTATGTGAAAAAAGGTTTCCCCGCCCATCCTTTCTGAAGGTCATAAATACTGGATTTAAATATAGCTTATATCTGGATATAATTAGGAAGACCACTCTTAGCTAACATGTCTGTATTTCAACAGGAGAGGAATAATATTTCAATTGAGAAATGCATATGACTTTCTTATAAGCTAATTGAGGCACTAGGAACAGCACTTGTTAGCACACACAAGGTCCTGGGTTCCATTAAGAGCATACAGCGTGCATATGAGTAAGTGGACTAAATATAACGTTCTCATGCATGCAAATGAGACACAAAATAAATTTTGGCAACATAAGAACTACAAGCTGCCAAGTCTTCAACATCAAGCACTCCCATGTGCTACTGGAGACACTAGCCCAGATCCAGGACTTAAGCAGTTGCCTCTTTGATGTAATAGTAACCCAAAGCTGGTTGTTATCAAAGGAGGCCTACCTGTCTGTGTCACCAGTACAGAGCCTCTATGTGAAAACAGTGGAATTTTTTTTCTGTTATAGTTTTGCTTTTTGTTGTATAAACAATTTTTCAAAATTGTCAGGGGGGACAGAGATAGACTAGGGGATTGATGCCTGTGCCAAGCTCCCGCCGAGGTTTAAGAACGCTTTCATTGTAAGAATTCCATCTTAGCTTTTGAGGATGTTTAAGAAGCAAAAACTCTTGTTTGAGAAGTCTGCTTTCTGGATACATATAGAGATTTCTTAGTCCTTACGGGGAACTATAGATCCACCATCAAGGACAATAGCCACCCAAATATATACTCAGGGTTCTGCACAGAAATACTAGCTTCAAAGTCTGGAGAGCTCACTAGGGTCTTCTTGGTTTTATTTTCATTGGAGTTAAGAACAAGAACTCCAGCACAAAAACAAATGCAAAGATAATGTGACTACGATTTGCTTTCCTTTTTGTGTTTTTTGTTAATATTAACAGACACACTATAGGGTTCTAGAATTATCTTCCGTGTACTATTTTTTCAGTTATTATGAAACACTTAAGAATCAAATAGGAAGTAAAATTACACAGACACAATCACATTGTGATAAGAGGTAACTGAGTGATTTAATGTGTTATTACATGGAGAAGTGATTTAATGTGCTATTACATGGTGAAAGTAAGTACTTCAAAGTCATTGCATGCTATACTTCCCTGGGACTGAAGTATACTTAAAATTTAGTTCAAAACATTCTAGGAACTGTGGACACAATTCAGTTGGTAGAGAGTTTCATAATATGCAAAACACCCTGCATTCCATTCCAGCACTTCATAAACTATTCATGTGGTACTTCACACCTGTAATCCCAGCACTCATGAAGTAGATGCAGGAGGATCAGGGGTTTAAGGTTATTTGTGGGTGCACATAGAGTTCAAAGCCAGCCTGAGCTACATAAGCCCTATCTCAAAAATTTTGTTTCAGTCAGGGGATGGTGATGCACACCTTTAATCCCCGCACTTGTTGGGGCAGAGAAAGGTGGATCTCTGTGAGTTCCAGGCTAGCCTGGTCTACAGAGCAAGTTCCAGAACAGGCTCCAAAGCTACAGAGAAACCTTGTCTCAAAAAATAAAAAATTTGTTTTATTATTGCATTTTTTCCATAAAATTATAAATCACTACTTCTAAGAGTCCTTTTTTTTTAAAGAGATCTATTACTACATGTGTGTAGGTCTGTGTGTATGTATGTGGGTTCCCTAGGAGGTTAGAAGATGGTGTTGGATGCCCTGATGCTAGAGTAAGAGGCAGCTGTGAGTTACATGATATAGGTGCTCAGAACCAAATCTGGTCCTCTGCAAGGGCAGGCGCATGCCCATGACCACCAAGCCATCTCCTCAGCCCCATCAATTTCTTTCTTTCAAGTGCTGAACAGCGCTTCTATCAACCGTCTATTTTTCTTCCTAGAACTTTCCTATAATGTGGAAAAGGTTGTGACAATGAGGGTTTGGTTTCTTATTCTAAAATTCTACTCAGCAATTGAGTCAGGCAGTCCTTACAAAATGCTAGACAGACAAAAAACGAATAATACATAGGTTAACGTGCTTTTAAATGTTACTGAAAACATCCAGAGCTAACACAACCATTTCTGTAGATAATGGTCGCAGGAATTTCAAACAGCACTTCAATCCCTGAGAATGTCAGATACTGACTTTCAAGTTTCACAGAAACCCATTCTCTCTGAGCAGTGCTGTTTTAAAATATGCTCGCGATTTAATTGGGTAATCTTGGGCAGATTTACTTGAACCATAAGTAAACAGATAACATCTCTTAGTGAATAAAAATTAAGGTATAGAAGATGGAAATTCAGAAGCACCAGCTTTAATTTCAGCACTGGGGAAGTTGAGATAGAAAGCCCACCAGGTTGATGCTACGTTGGGACTCACTGCAAGGCCTTGTCTCAAAAACCCAAGAAGCAAGAGTCCAGGAATGACGGGGAGAGGAAGGAAGGACGGGAAGACAAAGCAGGAAGGGCCAGGAAGCTTGCTTCTGTCTCTCTTGTTTTGCAGGGCTGGGACTGCAAGCCCGAGCTGTGTGGGCAAGCACTCTACCACACTGATGCTCCCCGAGTATTGGAATGGAACTCAAGAGGTAAAACAAAACAAAACAACCAATCAAACAAACAAGCAAAGATGAGGATTTGGGAAAGATACCCCTTGGAATAAATACTTACCAGATCCAAATGTTTAAATATTAAGATAAAAATGAAATGATGTCAAACAATGGACAAAAGCCCTCATTACAATTCATGTTCACGCCAACACTCTCCCTTCATACCCACACACGCTCAGATCCACACACTCCTACACCGAGTTGAGAGAGCAATTAAAAAGCTATCGCTTCTTCATAGTTCTTTAAGGAAACATACACTTATAGTTTGCTTATTTACAAAATAAGTGAAAATTCCCAATTACTTCAAATGATCTGTTTCCAAGTTTCCTATAGTTCAAAGCTGAGTACATTTTCAAATTTTAGTGTAGACTCGTTTCCCTCACTTGTTTAGTGTCATATTTCATCTAACAAACACCGAATATAATACGACTGTGCAAACCCCCATCCAATATCCAGGCTTGGGTCCTAGAAGCTGGAGGGGTTAACAAGGAAAGTTACCACACTTAGAAACAATGTGCCATTAAGCCTTAGGCTGTCTGCCATGGCAGAACTCCGCTTGCATCACAAGAGTGTCTTCCTCCCACCCAGACACAGCAAACAGCAAGCAGGCTTTTGATTCAGTGGTGCATGCCCACCCTGGCTTGCTGTGGGATTTACACTTAGCTGTCGCTTGGCTTCCTTACTATGTGATTCCTGAGCTGTATGTGCCTGCAAACTAAAGGAAATAACAGGAGATGTGAAGAACGCAACAATACTAAAAACAGATGTTGGTGTAAAATTTCAGGGCCATTTATTTGTTCATTTCACTTTTTAACATGCAATCCCTACCTTTTTTTAAAGGGGAGAGTCTGCTTTTTTTTCTCTCTCTCTTAAAATGCCCAGACACATAGAGCATTTAGAGAGATGAAGTGTGTAAGACAGAGACCTGAGAGGGTGAAAAACAGGAAATAAAGTGTGTAGGAAGGATAAAGTGAAAAAAAGAAATTCCAAGCACCGTCTTTTTCGGGAGTTCTACGAAGTCCTTCTTACTCTCATTTTGGTCTGTCAACTCTTTGCGGATAGTGTCATGTTCCCAGTTGTGATTTGTAGATAAGGAATTATGAAGCATGGTTGTTCTTAGATACAAATGCTTTTGTGCCCAGAAAATGATAGTTTTATTTTGTTTGTCCCTGATCTTCACTGAGAAATATTTACCCCAAACATCCTGGCTTGGGGAAAAGCAAACAAACAAACAAACCAACAAAACAAAATAAAAACCCAGGCTCCATTTACTCAGTCCTTAAGAGTGGGAGTCACTGATGACTGTCAGGCAGCTGAGTCGCACATCATAATGAACAACCTACCCTATTTTTTTTTCTTGCAAAGATTCATATTACTATCCCTACAGTGAATTACTTCTTTGTTGGGTTTCTGAGAAATGATGGCCCAAGAGCTACTGCAAGATAATATGACCCCTCCTCCTGGAGCACCTCCCCAGAGCACCTGCTTTAACAGTCAAAAACCAACAGCAGGATCAGATTTCCATGCATTCTTATTAACAAACTTACATGATTTCCTGTTGGAAAGTTTCAGAGGCTGGACTACTATTTCTGGTCGTCTCAGAGCCAATCTCCTGGGGGAAGAAAAGGTCAATGGGCCTATCAGTTTTCAGCACAGGTTCAAGGTTAACACAGCACCAAAATATAAAATCCATAAGGAAGATCATGAAGGAACATAAGACGATCTCTTCAAATGAACTAAATCCAGTACTTTTCAAGTTTTAAAGTTAATCCCCCTTTCCTGAAATGACTGAGCTCTCCCTGTAGCACACACTCATATAGTAATGTGCTAGCATCTGCCTGTTTCACAACAACCCAAAAGGACCTGGTACTGTCACAGAGTTAGACAAAATAGAACTCCAAATCCGAACCCAAGGGATAATAGATTTGCAGGCAGGCTCTGAGGCTCATTTTTATCATAACTGTGCTAGAATGACACTCCGCAGGGAACGGAACATCTGAAGAGAGGTCACTGTGCTGCGCCAGCGGCTCACCGTTCCTGGAAGTGCTTGGAGGGAATCAGCCCTGCTCTGGGGTTGGCATCACCCTCGTGCCTCGCCTGCCACCATGTCACATCGTCTTGGCTCATGATTTGAAGGATGTCTCCCTTTCGGAAAGACAGCCCCGCCTCCTTACAAGGGATGGCCTTGTCCTCCTTCGGGTCATAGTCAAAAAGGGCTTTGATGAACACCTGGGAGGGAAGAATGAATGGCAGAGGTGAAGCTGTCTGCATTCTTGCAACTTAGACATAAGGGATGGCCATTTCCAAAGCACATGTCACTGTTGAAAAAGTAAGGTTCCGTCCCACTCCGCAAACAGTACCTTAGAGACATACCTTGCCTTCCTTGGAAGCTGTCTCCTCTTTGGCACTGGGTATTATCTTAAATGTAATTGCTCCCTGGGACTGACTCTGGAATCAGAGACAGGATCATTAGAGAGCCGGAGGCAAGAGGGATGTAAAACAGACAGGTAGGGAGCTAAGCACAGCTAGCAATGCACAGCACTCTACTGGGACAAAGCCAGAAAAGTATGTCTGCAGAAATTCCACAAACACGAGAAAGCTCTATGGTACATGAGGTCATCTGAAGACCATTTTTACACTTTTACATCCTGTGCACTTAAGGTATCAAGATGTCGACTGCCATCCATGCTAAGCTACATCAAAACAGAAACACAATATGAACAAGGCTTAAAAGGAGGACAAGAGTCAATGCCTACAGCACATAACACAAAGTCGAGATCCTGGCATTTAAGTGTTGGTATCCGTATTTGGTGCAACCAAAAGCTGATACCAGATGCTGTTTCTGTGGTTATGAATGTGGGGTTCATTTGGCAGAAATGTACATCAGAAAAAGTAACTAAGCACAGTCAGTTTTATTCTGGTAGTGGGATAAACATCACGTACAACAAGTCCATTGTAAGATTTAAAGACAGACAGAATGTCTACTCAAATTTAACTAACACCCTAATCCCATGACCCACAGACACTTGCTCATTATCTCAGACCTCTTGTTAATGGACATTTATGAAGACATCTGTTTAGAGGTACTCAGGGAACTGTCTATTGCTGTAGGCTTGCAAGTTAACATATAAAGGGGCAGTCTTCATTTTATGCCTACACCTGAACTTAATACTTAACAATTCCCATGCCTAAAACAATTTCAAAAGGTTTTAGCACTAATGAGAGAGGAACAGAGGCAAGGGCATCACCAACAGTTCTACAGAGGCCACCTGCTCACACTGACCTGAAATCCTGCATATATTATAACCTCATTCCAGCCTCAAAACACATCAGCAAATTGTTACTTCTTCCTACATACATGTAAATGGAAATCTTTAAGTTATATGGACTAAAGTGTTTCTATACATGTGTGCAGCACTCTGAGTCTGGAGTGCTGAATCCAAATCAAACTGAGACACCTGAAGCACAGTGATTTGATTTTCACTGAGATTTACAATAAAGTGACAGCTTACCAAAATCTGTATGATTTCCTCAGGCCTCTTGTCTTCCACTGGGATCCCATTCACTTCCCTCAGCTCGTCACCCACATGGATAAGACCTGATAAATACAGAATCTGGTAAGTCAGCAGTGTCACAAAGTGACACTGTGATCTGGGACTGTCCCCAACATTCAAGTGTCAGTCATTCCTCAAAGTGACTTAAGTGTCAGAACAGAGACCGTCTTTCACAACTCACATGCTTCGATTCTGCAGTTCTCTGATGATGGATATAGCAAATCAGATAACAGTATCTTGGTCTCTATCTAGAAATGCACATTATTGATGCCTTTAGAAAATAATTCATTTTATTATTTACTTACTACTTTTATTTGCTGTGAGTCTGTACATGCCACGTGTGTCATGTGTGTGTGCAAGTATGCTTAAAGGCCAGTGGTCAAATGTGGCACCATTCCTCAAGCACAAACTACCTTGTTGTTGAGAAGGGTCTCCTACTGGCATGGATTGTACCAAGATCTAGGTACACTGGCTGGCTGGCCTGTGGACTCTACCTCCTCAGAACTTTGATGATAAGCACAACCACCACATCTGGCTTTTAATGTGGATGCTGTGGATTAAACTTGTTTCTCATATTTGTACAAGCAAACACTTTTCCAACTGAGCTACTACCCTAGCATCTTAACATAATCTGTAAATTTAATTTTAAAACTTTATGCTCCTAGTAGCACATATTTTTCACATCAGAAACACTAAGACGGGTCATAATATAACTCTGCAGGCTGAGTAGTACCTCTGTGGGATAACACTTGACTAGCACAGCCAAGGTCATATGGGTGGGGGTGGGGAGGAATCAAGCATCTTCAGAAGCCGTGTAAGCTAAGACCACAGAGGGAGATTCATCTATCATGTGCTTGTCTGGTGTCCACATTTTAACACAGTGAAAGATGTCTTGCTTCTGGTTCTGCTATATTGTATCAAAAGACTAATAGCCACTTAACTACTCACTGGAACTGTTACTCACAGAACACAACACAATCTGTCTGTATTCAATGAATAAAGAGGCTCTCACCACTTCTGTCTGCAGCTCCTCCCCGCATGATCCGGGCCACAATGATTGCCCCTGTCTGTTCATCTTTCTTAATGGTAGCACCCTTTCAAGGCAAAAAAAAAAAAAAAAAAAAAAAAAAGGTGGGAGAGGAGAAAAGCATTTGAGGGCAGATTTTCAAATAGGGATGTAAAATAACTTTTATCTGGAAAAACCAGAAACTACTACAAAGAGAAAGAACAAGGCAGGAAGACAGGCATGTCAACTGTCCTTTGGATGCTCCTTATACTGTACCAAAATTCAGGCTACATAGAATCTAGTGTTTCAGCACAATTGAAGACTGGTAAATTCTTATATCTTCCAATTCATGAGAAACCCTTTTTTTCCTTTAAACTATCTACCTTGTATTGCTTTACTTTCAGAATACTGACTCATTTCATTTTATCAATATAATATCCCATGATGGGGGCTGCAGAAAGATCTCAGTGGTTAAGAGCATGGGCTACTATTCCAGAGGACCTAAGCTCAATTCCCAGCACCCATATAGCAGTTCAGAACCAGCAGTACCTCCAGTCGCAGGGGATCAATGCATCAAGCATAGATGTGATGTACACACATACACATGCACACACACACACACACACAGACATACATACACAAAGGGAGGGAGGAAGGGAGGGGCAAAATATCTCTTTGGATAACCTAGGAGGTTTTCTGCCCGAGATCCATAGCAGAATCATGGAAAGTCCACCCAGGGTTGTGAGGATTAGGACAGGACTTCCTTGGTTGCAAATGGCGCAATATTCCCCAGTCCCAGATCCCTTGATGTGGTAGTCCAACACCACAGGAATTCCAGTGCCAAGACAAACAGCTCTATTTATATTGTGAAATGTTAGGTGTCAGCCTAATTTCTCTTCATTATTTTAAAATACATCAGCTTTCCAGAACAGCCTAAAGCACTATTTTTCAACTACATCATTTAATTTCCAATCAGCCCTACCTGGCTACATGCTAAATTTCCTTTTACAAGTGTTAGTAGGTTATATTTTCAAGGTTATTACTATCAAAAAGGAATAGGATACTATTATTTTACTTGGAGTTTTGTTAGTTGCTCTAAGCCATATTCTCTGGATGTAAATGTCCCATTTGTTTTAAGGCAAGGGGACCCAGAAGCAGAATATCTCAAAGACAAGTGTGAGTGCTGGAAGCCCACCCCATTGAGCTCCCTAGGAGACCTCCTCATATCTGAAGGCAGACCAGACTCACCAGGGGTTCTCTGTTCTTGACCAGGCGGATTATTTTCACTGAATCCTCCTCCTCATCGATGTCATCAGGCATAGGAGGTAATACAGGATCGTAGCTCTTCTGAGCCACAGTATCATGTACTGACAACAAAGCCTGTAAAACAAACATGTCATAAAGAATTCATCAAATATGAAATTCTAAGTTCAGATGTACAAATAACGTCAAATGTTGCAGGATAATCTTATTGTACCGTGTGTAGATGTGTCTCTGACAAGGGACATTCTGATTGGTTTAATAATGACATGAATGATCAATAGCTAGGCAGGAAAGGATAGGCAGGATTTGTGGGGAGAGACGGGAACTCAGGGTTTGAATCTAGGCAGCAGGAGAAGCCAGCAAGACATGGAGCAAATCAAAAATACCAGATGGAGGAGAGATGAAAATCCATGTGGCAGAACACAGATGAACAGAAACTGACAGAAACAGGCAGAACACAGATTAATAGAAGCCTTCAAATAATAACATGGAGACTTCTTATTAATTATGAAAGCTAGGCCTTAGCTTAGGCTTATTCCTATCTCTTATAAACTAAATTAACCTATTTCTATTAATCAGAAGGCATCTTGGCAAAGATACACCATCACAGTGTACAAAAGGATTATCCCAAAAACAGCCAAAATAGCATTACCCTGTTGGCATAGTAATGGTAGGTAAGGAAACCATTTGAAACAGGGCCTCTTTGACTCAGGCAGTGGGGCCGGGGCAAGCCCTGTGGGATTACAGAAGGCAGACCTACTCAGTTGCACCCGTGCCTCCTCTTCTAGTACCACTGACAACATGCGTTAAATTTCTTCTAACCTGTACATTCTCTAGTAATCCCAACATGGCAGCAATTGAGGCAAAGGTCAGGGGGAAAACAAAATGAGAATACTGGCATACTAACAATAAGCCAACAGAAGTTTGAGATACTGTATTTTTCTTTAGTTTTTAAAAACATTTATATATGTGTGAATATGACTGTGTAACATAAATGTATGCATGTTTGTGCATATGCATGTGAGTGCACATGGGTCATAGGTGCACCTGTATGTATGTGGAAGCCTAAGGTTAATATGATGAGTCTTCCTTCATCTCTCTCTTCCACATGTGTAGAGGGAGGGCTTCTCAATGTTTTAGTTAGTGACTCAGTGCTCACTTAGATGAAGCCCTGTGATGGCTCCCAAACATTTTATAAACCAGGTTTGGTGGTATATGTCTATAATTCCAGTACCCAGGATGTGGGGGAAGAAAAAATAATATTTTCTCACATACATCAAAGAGAGAAAATGCCGGTACTTTACATTTCCTAGTTCAGATTAATGCATTTGAGATGTCTCACTTACTTCCTGCACTACCCATACCTGACTCTAGGTGGAGGTCTAGAGATCATCCTCTCCTCTCCTCCTCCTCCTCTCCTCTCCTCCCTCCCCTCCTCTCTTCTTCCCACCCCTCCCCTCTCCTCCCCAGACCCAACATCCACCATATAGCTTACTAAATATACTTCCCAAAGATATTTAAAACATATTTTCATCTTTCTAATTCAACTCAAAGATCAACAAGCAATACCACCTGCTTCTGTGAAGTTTGATGGGAACCGTCATACTAGTGAATTCCTGTATTGTCTATAGGTTCTGTCATGCTACAATCCCAAAGCGGATAGCTGGGACAGGCACCTCCAGATCACCATTTCTATGACTACAAAAGACATTGTAACAGATTTGTGTGGTCCAGATGCACTCACTGATGCCCCACTTTCAGACTGGTAGTTCCCAATGTAGCCAGAATGACTGCTGGTTGATCAGAACTCATCTATGGATGCCTTATAGTCTGAGCTTTGGTCAAAGGTGTGGCTACTGGCTAGTATATGTCTTGACCTTCAAGACCTAACAACAGGATGTTTGATCAAAGGTCTGGCTAGTAGATGTCTTGACCTTCAAGACTTAACAACAGGATGTTTGGTCAAAGGTGTGGCTAGTAGATGTCTTGACCTTCAAGACCTAACAACAGGATGTTTGGTCAAAGGTGTGGCTAGTAGATATCTTGACCTTCAAGACCTAACAACAGGATGTTTGGTCAAAGGTGTGGCTCCTAGATGTCTTGACCTTCAAGACCTAACAAAAGGATGTTTGGTCAAAGGTGTGGCTACTGGATAGATGTCTTGACCCTCAAGATCTAATAACAGGATGTTTGGCTTAGGGTTTGGTTGCTTGATGTTTTGGGTCTTCAGGTAATTATGTTTGTTTATTCCTTGTATCACTGGAAGTGTTTTGCCCTCCCCTTTTGATTGGGATACATAAGAACTGTGAGTAATAAACTTGGGCATTTTTTTTTACAGTATTCACTGGGAGCCCTCCCAACTTTATCTTCTATCTCTTGTCTATTTCTTCCTTAAATTCTCACTCCCCTTCTTAGGAACATACAGACAAGTTGGCTGGATCCAACATTCTAGGGGTGGAAGCTTCTTACCCATTGAGCAATATCCTCATAGTCCCATTCCTTGGTTTCTAGACCTCAGCATTACATTTTCCTTCATATTTGGAAAGCATAATTATACATATGCTATATTTAATATTTATATCATTCCATTGCTTATGCCATCTATCAAGCAATCATAAGCTCAGATGGCAAAATGGTGTGAATTTTCAAATTGAACAATCTTAATAACTAACATATGCAACCAACTGTCCCTTTGCAACTCAGAAGATTGGTTCCAAGAGCCACACTAATGTCAAAACCTTCAGATGCTCACTCCCTACATAAAATAGTATGAGACATACATATAGATCATGTGTTTCTGCTTACATACTTTAAACCATCTGTAGATGACTTACACTCCATATTTTGAAAATAGCTACAGAACTATACTACTTGGTAGATGGTGACATGGAATTTCTGTATGTGTACAACACACATTCAGCATTTTTCAAATATATTCAGCCAGGGTTGGTTGAATGTGCCTCTAAAACTGTGAACTAAATAACCTCTTTTTAAAAAAGCATATAAATACCCAGCTTAAAATATTTCATGTAGCAACAGGAAGCAGAAGAACACATCTTGCACAGCCTGGAAGAAATCTCTGAAGTTTGCACAGGGAAAGGACAGCTCCTGGTTTTTAATGGTGAAGAAATTCTCATGACTGGGAAGGGCTGCCCGTCATATGTTACTTTGGTATTGTAAAGATAAATCCAAGATTAAAAGCTGTGACACACTGACTGAACAAAATGTAAAAGTAAACCTCTGAGGCCAAAACTCTTCCAAGTAACTTAATGTTATAACAGAAAAATAATTACAGATATTGTCTATAAGAATATTATGGTAGTCAATATCAAACTTGCATGACTAGAGATCAATCAGAACTTACCAGGCATGACAAAGAAGGTTAAAAAACATTACTCATATGGAGGAAAAATGGAAGAAATAGAACAAAACTCTGAAATTAGAGATATAACTGGACAAAACAAACAGTAGTCCAGGATATTAAAATCTACTACTATGGGTGGAGAGACGGCTCAGTGGGTAAAAGTGCATGTGAACAAGTTTGATGACCTCTGAGTTCAGGATCCCCAGAATCAACATGATAAGCCAGATGTGGCAGGGAGTATCTGTAATTCCTGCATTCCTCTGACTAGACATGAGGTGAAGACAGAAAATCACCTGGAAGTCTATGGGTATGCCAGACTGGTGCATGCCATGAGTCACCAGAAACAACAGAGACCCTGCCTCAAAACAAGGTGAAAGCCTACTGCTGAAAGTTGTACTTCAACCTCCACATGTGGGTAATGGAATACACACACACACACACACACACACACACACACACACACACACATGACATCATACTATACCATATACCCCCTCACGGCATACCATATTTACATAAGGGGAAAGTAATTATGTAGAAGACAAAGTAATATAAACTATTCAAAAAATAAAGCAAGAATTAAAAACATATTAAGAGAGGGCCTGAAGAGATGGTTCAGCAGTTAGAAGCATGGGTTGTTCTCCTAGAAGACCTGGGTATAACTCCCAGTACTTGCATGATAACTCACAACTGCCTGTAACTCCAGGCCTGGGGCATTTGGCTTTCATGGCCTCCAGAGCACATGATGCACAGAGATGCAGACAAAACACCCATACACATGACAGAATAATAGGCAACTGTGGGATCTTAAAGAGCCTAAAGTAGGTACTCAGATTCTCTGAAGAAGTATGACTTTTTTTTTAGGAAATATGAAAGAAATTACAAATTTGGTGAAAAAATAATAAACTCACATGTTCCTTAAGCACAAGTACCTGAGCACATGGACAGGAATACAAAATAATCAAAACTGCTTCAAGCATGTGAGAAACCTCTAAAAATCATGAACCAGAAAAAAATTAGCACATTACATACTAAAGAGTAAAGATGAAAGTTAATTCCATTGTACGTAAGATGACCCACAAAATAAGAAAGCATCTTTAAAATACCTGAAAAGAATACTATCAAACTAGCATTCTATATCCAGCAAAGATAACTTTTAGCAGAGAAGACTTTTCAATGAGATGGGGTATTTTTAATGTATCACCAGCAGACCTGTTTTGGAAAAATGTTATAGGGAATCTTTTAGATGGGAGGAAGATGATTGTCCACCTAGAGCAGAGAAGGGCACCAGCAATGAAATGACCTCTATCTCAATGTCTTTCTCAACCACATTCCACATGACAAGAACAGCAGATGGCCAGTTAGAGCATTTTAAAATAGTATAGTAATGGCATTACAGATGATATTAAGAACACCAGCTATTTATTTTCTTGGCTTTGGACTCGTTTCTGTGTCTAAATTTCAACAGCATTTTGCAGATTTCAAGTTCATCATGCTCACAGCTTTGCTTTAGTAATATTATTACGTGGCAACATTTTGTAGTTTGGAGAATGAGAAAGCATTTGGCATTCCATTTTCCTGTCTTCACTGAGGTGATTTTATTCTTCAGCATACAGATTTCCCTCTCAAAAGACAGAACTTAAATAAAAACTGTGTTTCCATGTGCCATAACCACCAATCACAGCTGATAGTTTTACCTGTTGCCCAGAAGCATCTGCAGGAAATTGAACACCAGACCTGTAACACACCACTG